ACTACAGTTACTGTACAGAAAACATACTACAATTACAGTAGAGAAAGTACTACAATTACTGTACAGAAAACATACCACAATTACAGTAGAGAAAGTAATACAATTACTGTACAGAAAACATACTACAATTACAGTAGAGAAAGTACTACAATTACTGTACAGAAAACATACCACAATTACAGTTGAGAAAGTACTTCAATTACTGTACAGAAAACTTACTACAATTACAGTAAAGAAAGTACTACAATTACAGTTGAGAAAGTACTACAATTACTGTACAGAAAACATACTACAATTACAGTAAAGAAAGTACTACAATTACAGTAGAGAAAGTACTACAATTACTGTACAGAAAACATACCACAATTACTGTAGAGAAAGTACTACAATTACTGTACAGAAAACACACCACAATTACAGTAGAGAAAGTACTACAATTACTGTACAGAAAACATACTACAATTACAGTAAAGAAAGTACTACAATTACAGTAGAGAAAGTACTACAATTACTGTACAGAAAACATACCACAATTACTGTAGAGAAAGTACTACAATTACTGTACAGAAAACACACCACAATTACAGTAGAGAAAGTACTACAATTACTGTACAGAAAACATACTAGAATCTAATTTAGCCTGACAAGAACGCACTGCCTCCTCTCCACTAAACCAATCCATCTCTTTTAACAAGTTAACCTTATTGTTACCTCCCCTTGTGGGCACGGCGTGATGATGTCCCCTGCCCAAGATGATACCCATCCCGTCCTGAACGACAATTTATTTCATCAGTGATTGACTCGACTGGCGGTGCCTTATGCAAGGGGACGTAAATCTACACTCTAATTGGCGAGGGGGGGGGGGGGGTGGGGTTTGATGTATATATTTTTTTTTACAAGGAGTCGTGTTTGTGTCGTCATTTGTCTTGGCGGTATCTGATTGGCTGGATCGTTGATGTGGCCAGATTTACTGGTGTGGCTGTTTGACTTTTGTCTGCCGATGGTAGAGCTTTCAGGGTTTAGGTTTGGATATTTGCGAGTTAGTGATGCTTGTGGTTTAAGAGATTAAGAGTGAAGGTGGGTTAGGGCTTGGGTTTAGATTTAAAGTTTGTTTGGTGCATTATGGTTATCGCTACGGTAAGGGTTTGAAATGAGTTTAGGGTTAAAGGTTAAGGTTAGCGCTAGATTTAGAATTATTTTTAGTTTCAAGACTGGGTTTAGGATTCATATTTGTGTTAAGGATAGTGTGTTGAGTGTCTATAATAGAATATGTTAATTGCTAATTAGGGAAAAAAATAAATCAAAGAGAACAAACACGAGTTTCAGTTTTTATGTCATGTGATATGAATGTGTGGTACGAGCCTGGGCTAATGATACGAGACAGATTAATAACACCCGGACACATTTGTAATGGTTAGTGTAATGTAGGGGTTAGTGTAATGTAGGGGTTAGTGTAATGTAGGGGTTAGTGTAATTTAGGGGTTAGAGTGATGTAGGGGTTAGTGTAATGTAGGGGTTAATATAATGTCGGGGTTAGTGTAATATAGGGGCTAGTGTAATGTAGGGTTAGTGTAATGTAGAGGTTAGTGTGATGTAGGGTTTAGTGTAATGAAGGGGTTAGTGTGATGTAGGGTTTAGTGTAATGAAGGGGTTAGAGTGATGTAGGGTTTAGTGTAATGAAGGGGTTAGTATAGTGCAGGGGTTAAGTTAGATTGGGGTCAGTGTAATGAATGGGTTATTGTTATTCTGGGGTTAGTCTAACACTGAATGCTGAAGTAATTTTTGTGTCATAGCCTAATAGAGACGAAAACAAAACAAAAATTTACTGTCTGACCGATGAAGTGAAGACTTTGAAATTTTAACCCCCGATATTTCCATAGCGGGTCGAAGGGGTTGAACCCCAGTTAAAGGCCAACGCTGTATGCTGCATATCACTCAGCAATGGACTTTCCCATTCTTATACACGGTGTACCCTTGAGAGCAGGATGGACGAAGGGTAATTAGTAATTAGCCTACTGATTAAACCTGACAATATAATTAAGACAATGTAATTACGCAGCTCCTTTTATGTTGTAATGACATTACATGTCACGTGGTAAGGTCTACTGTCTGTGACTTACAACGTGACCCCCCTCCCCCCCACCCCCATTGTATTAGAGCGAGCGTCCCGGTAGTCATGACGACAGACGATGTCCACCATCAAAATTTCTGACACCTGTTCACCAGCTTAAGTTATGACCCCTGTCCACCAGTTATGACCCCTATTCGCCAGCTTAAGTTATGACCCCTGTACACCCGGGTAATAGAATATATTGCATAATCATTTGACACCCGCCTGACTTTATAGTGTACGCCTGCCAACCCGAATGTCTCGAGTTCGAATCCAGTGCTTGAGTCAGTAATACGTACCTGTTTCTGTGACCTCGGCATATGAAGGGATAGTGTGGTCAGCACTATGCCCACCAGCCGCCCTTACTTTCTCTAACGCAAGTTAGGTACCCATCAGAGTTGGGTGGACTCAGGTACGTTCTGCTGACGAACCTAGATTTGAACTCGAGACTTTCCGATTGTAGTACATTTGGTAATGGCTATATTCCAGTGTGAAGTGCAGAAATCGTTTTTATAATTTGTTATTTTTTGCATTTAAATGAACGAAAACAGTCATATACAAGTAGATGAATGTTCCTTGGGATTGTCAGTTCAGAAAACAAAATATTTGAAACCACCCCCACCCCCACCAACAAAAAAAAGCTTTAACATTTTGATAGTTATAACTTTGTTGAAGTCCAGAGTCCAGACTGTTTAAAAAACAAAACCAAAAGTTATAAAATGACCATTTTCGAACATTCAGCTTTAAATATACAACAGCTTTAAACACCTAATTTAAAAAAAAAATTACTTTCACAAATACTTAACAAGTTAATTATAACATTTCCTACAAGCTATTCATCTTACTTCTAATGGCATCGAATCGATAGAAATCATATGTCAACGTTTCCTAATATAGTCTACCTCGACACAAAAATAATCAATATTGAAAATTGTATTTCTTTTAAAGCCGCTACAACCAAGGTCGAAAATGTCTAAAAACACTACCAGCAATGTCAAAAATGACTAAAACACTACCACCCCATGTCAAAAATGTCTAAAAATTTAAACACTGCCACCCCATGTCAAAATGTCTAAAACACTACCACCACCCATGTCAAAAATTACTAAAACACTACCACCCCCACCCCCACCATGTCAAAAATGACTAAAACACTACCCCCACCCATGTAAAAAATGACTAAAACACTACCACCACCCACGTCAAAAATGACTAAAACACTACCACCACCCATGTCAAAAATGACTAAAACACTACCACCACCCATGTCAAAAATGACTAAAACACTACCACCACCCATGTCAAAAATGACTAAAACACTAACACCACCCATGTCAAAAATTACTAAAACACTACCACCCCCCCCCCACCCCCCCCACCCCCCCCCCTACCCCCCCCCCCCCCCCACCACCACCACCACCACCACCCATGTCAAAAATGACTAAAACACTACCGTCGCTAATGTCGAAAATCCCCCATCAGACATCACACAGGAAACGGAACTATTCCTGCTACGTCAGCAGACAGATAGTCCCGAGCTAGACTGACACTTGGGGGTCTCTGATAAAACGTTTCTAAAGCCTTCCTTGAAAGGCGCCGTCATAAAATCAATGCCCAGGCGTCGCGCTGTCACCAAATCCATTTCGTTGCGTTATTTAGTCATATCAAAAACAATTCTTGAAATTTAAATCGATGGCGACCAACCCGTATTTTAGAGGGGGCAGGGTTGTAAATATTGTTTGTTTCGTTTCGTTAGTTGGTTAGATTTTTTTTTTAATCTGACACTCGGTCGCCTCAATCAGGTATGGGGTCTTTGATTTTCTATAACGAACCAATCTTTGTAAGCATCAATGAGTTGGGAGTTATTGATCGGCGATGTTCAGCGGTGGTGGGGAGGTGATGTGGTCTGAACGGTAGGGTGGTGGGGGTGGGGGGTGGTCTGAACGGTAGGGTGGGGGGGAAGGTTGTGTTGATGGTTATGGGGGCTTGGTTAGTTGAGATGTTGGAGGGTTGGGTTGTTTAGTGAGGGGTTTGGGTTGGAAGACTATGGGTGAGTGGTGCAATTGATGTTCATAATGTCAGATAAGTTATTGCAGAAAAAAAAAACTGGTCTAAAGTTAAAGATGGGTGTAATGGTCAAGCTGCTTGTAACATAATCTATGAATGGGTCATAATTTTACTACTCAACTCTAAGAATAGACGGTTCTCTGCCTTAAATTTGTTACATTTAAAGATATCGTTGTCAGGGTTTAACAAATTTCTAAACACGCAACGTAAACAATAAAATATTTTATACCATTATACAAATGCCACAGTAATCAAATCTTATTTAAAGGCATGTTTTGGTTTCTTAGAATAAAGTAATTTCTGTCCCTAACACTAAACCTGGGATTACAATACCACGAACAACATAACACACCTATATTTGGAAGAGTCAACTCTAGGACACCTGTAGCAACTTTAACACAATTAACATTTGAATGTTTATCATCAAATTCGTACTCAACACAGTCGATCGTGAACACCCTAGCAACATCTGGCTAGGATATGTTCAAGTTTAGCTGCAGACTGAAATAATTTCCTCTGATTAATGTCGAACGGATAAAAAAAACGATCTGTTTATTTTTTGTTATCGTGTCGAGGTTTGCTACAGAAAAATTCCTGCTTTAAATATTTGCAAAACATTCAAGATTATCATTAATATAATTCTTTTTTAAGTTTTTTTTCCCAAGGAGATTTAGGGACTCTAATCTCATGTCACGACCCGACCTACCCCCGAGCGGAGGTGATAGACTCGCCCTGTTGAAATCGACTCGCCCTATCATGTCCGGCATAGGGGAGACAAGTCGGGATTTTTTTTTCTCTCACTCCGTAGCTTGAGCGCTCGTACGTGCATCAGCTCCGAGCTTCGCAGCTTTTGTCTTAGGGAGAAGAGGGTAAGGGGAAGCGCCCGTGTGTTGCGGGGAGCGAGGGCTGGGTGCTACCTGCGAACACACAACATTGGAAACAATCATCGGGATTTGTTTGATTGAGTGGTATAGGATTTTTTTTTAAAGAAAATATAAAATCTGTGTTTCGCTGGATTCGAGTTCGCCTTGGCTTCTAAATGTGTTAGCAGGAGGGAAATCAAAATAAAAATAAAATAAAAAAAGTTTCACGCTATTTCAGGAAATTCCAATTACCAGTTATAGAAAGGGGGGAAAAAATCGGGAAAATTTTTCTCAATTTCACTGAACGAGTAAGTTGTCCCCTGGGGGAATTTTTTTTTTATTCGTGTGGGTCTGGATTCTGAAAATATTATTGGAGTGTTTCGTGTGACCCTGTTGGACCCAGCCGGACCTTTATGGACCCGTGTGGACCCGTGTACACAGCATGTGTTGTAGGCATTCGGAGATAGCCAATAGCTTCGTGATAATATGTAGGTGGCTTCATTTATTCATTAAGTTAATCAGTTAATAATCTATTTAATAATCTATTTTATAGTGAACTTTTTTTTACTTACGTGCCTTTGTTTATTTATAAAATCTAAAGTAATGTGAAATAATTAAGATGCTCAATACAATGCTCATTAGTTATTCTTAAAGTACGTAGATCTAATCCGTTTTGTAAATTGTAAGTATTTTAGATTAGTGAGTTAGGTTTTGATTAAACAAAAAAAAAATTTAACGCATGATTGGTACAATGATTGATTTACTGTGTGAAATATAATGATGTCGCGTTATATGGATTGGGTGGCTATAAGAGAAATCCGTTTTTAAATTATTATATTTAATTATCTTAAATCGTTAGTCGTTCAGTCTCATCTGGATGGCTTACATTTTTATTTTAATTTGTAAAAACCTTGTAAACCTTAACTAAAGTTGTTTAGCGAGTTGTGATTAATGTAGCAGTTGTGTTCGTTTTTTTTTAATTAGTGGATTACAAATATTTAGTGTAGACTGACCCCACAATTAATGGTGCTCTACTGACCACTATATCTGGTGCTAGACTGACCACTATATCTGGTGCTAGACTGACCACAATATCTGGTGCTAGATTGACCACAATATCTGGTGCTAGACTGACCACAATATCTGGTGCTAGACTGACCACAATATCTGGTGCTAGACTGACCACAATATCTGGTGCTAGACTGACCACAATATCTGGTGCTAGACTGACCACAATATCTGGTGCTAGACTGACCACAATATCTGGTGCTAGACTGACCACAATATCTGGTGCTAGACTGACCACAATATCTGGTGCTAGACTGACCACAATATCTGGTGCTAGACTGACCACAATATCTGGTGCTAGACTGACCACAATATCTGGTGCTAGACTGACCACAATATATGGTGCTAGACTGACCACAATATCTGGTGCTAGACTGACCACTATATCTGGTGCTAGACTGACCACAATATCTGGTGCTAGACTGACCACAATATCTGGTGCTAGACTGACCACAATATCTGGTGCTAGACTGACCACAATATCTGGTGCTAGACTGACCACAATATCTGGTGCTAGACTGACCACAATATCTGTTGCTAGACTGACCACAATATCTGGTGCTAGACTGACCACAATATCTGGTGCTAGACTGACCACAATATCTGGTGCTAGACTGACCACAATATCTGGTGCTAGACTGACCACAATATCTGGTGCTAGACTGACCACAATATCTGGTGCTAGACTGACCACAATATCTGGTGCTAGACTGACCACAATATCTGGTGCTAGACTGACCACAATATCTGGTGCTAGACTGACCACAATATCTGGTGCTAGACTGACCACTATATCTGGTGCTAGACTGACCACAATATCTGGTGCTAGACTGACCACAATATCTGGTGCTAGACTGACCACAATATCTGGTGCTAGACTGACCACAATATCTGGTGCTAGACTGACCACAATATCTGGTGCTAGACTGACCACAATATCTGGTGCTAGACTGACCATAATATTTGGTGCTAGACTGACCACAATATCTGGTGCTAGACTGACCACAATATCTGGTGCTAGACTGACCATAATATCTGGTGCTAGACTGACCATAATATCTGGTGCTAGACTGACCATAATATTTGGTGCTAGACTGACCACAATATCTGGTGCTAGACTGACCACAATATCTGGTGCTAGACTGAACACAATATCTGGTGCTAGACTTACCATAATATCTGGTGCTAGACTGACCATAATATTTGGTGCTAGACTGACCACAATATCTGGTGCTAGACTGACCATAATATCTGGTGCTAGACTGACCACAATATCTGGTGCTAGACTGACCACAATATCTGGTGCTAGACTGACCATAATATTTGGTGCTAGACTGACCACAATATCTGGTGCTAGACTGACCATAATATTTGGTGCTAGACTGACCACAATATCTGGTGCTAGACTGACCATAATATTTGGTGCTAGACTGACCACAATATCTGGTGCTAGACTGACCACAATATCTGGTGCTAGACTGACCACAATATCTGGTGCTAGACTGACCACAATATCTGTTGCTAGACTGACCACAATATCTGGTGCTAGACTGACCACAATATCTGGTGCTAGATTGACCACAATATCTGGTGCTAGACTGACCACAATATCTGGTGCTAGACTGACCACAATATCTGGTGCTAGACTGACCACAATATCTGGTGCTAGACTGACCACAATATCTGGTGCTAGACTGACCACAATATCTGGTGCTAAACTGACCACAATATTTGGTGCTAGATTGACCCCAAATTTGATACTAGACTGGCCATAAATTCTGGTGCAATACTGAACATTCTTGTGCTAGACCGACCTCAACATTCATGTTCAAATTAGCCATAGCCCTTCTCCCTACCAACGGTCGTGTTTAAAATTAGATCTACTCACACAACGACACCTACGTTTATACTACCTGCCCGAGTTTTATTTGTTGGTATCACCTTACCTCACCTTACCTCACAGCCCCACCTGTGGGCGGCGCAATCCTGCTCAAAGGTCACGCTGACACACTAACTACAGGTGTGTAGCAGGGTACTCACGCCATTGATAAGGTTGACATTTCTAGCACAAACACACGTGTCAAGCTGTGTGCGAACAACGCCTCAGATATAGCGGTAGGCGTGAGTTAGGCCCGCGTACATAGAACACATCTGTGGTATAACTTAAAATGTGTTTGGGAGAGTGTCGCAAACCTGTGCTACACACCTGTTAGACACACATGTGTCAAATCTGTGTCGCACATACGTGTATTACAAATCTGGGTCACACACCTGTGTTTATAACCGTGAGTTACATCGCGGGCTGTGTTAACACCCTACCTGTGCTATCCACGGGTATGTAAACATGTGTCACATCTCCGTGTGAGCGCGCGCACACACACACTCACCCTCACACCTGTGCTACACACACGTGTGTGTGTGTACCCCTCACAACGTGTCCCACGAAAGCAGCGGTGTTGATTTAAAACAAGCTCCCTAAGGGCGAATATCAAAGGTTAGATTAATCTCCCTTGGCAACAGCTAACAATAGCTGGCCTCGAAGCCACTCGCACTGATTGCGGTGTGATGGCGAAGGGGTGAGGGGTGGTGGTATCGTGTTTGTTGGGGGAGGGGAGAGGGGCAGCCAGAGACACGGAACAAACAACGTCTGCTAAAATGCTGGATTAGTTCAGATCCGTTACAAATTGAATGGATCCAGGCAGGTAATCTTTGATAATCTGCGTTAATCTCGAGATAATAGGTGAGAGATGCCTGGTACTGCTTGATGCCAGTTCTGTCAGCATTCGGAATGTTCTTGGTAAAATATTCATCATGTATGCCTCGTAGTTCGAACAATTCTCATGATGTACGTCTTGTGTTTGGTAAAATGATGCCTGGTACTACTTGATGCCAGTTCTGTCAGTATTCAGAATGTTCTTGGTAAAATATTCATTATGTACGTACGTATCGTAGTTCGAACAATTTTCATAATATTCTGCTCGTGCTTGGTAAAATACTCCTGATGTACGCCTCGTAGTTCGAACAATTTTCATAATGCACTGCTCGTACTTGTTACAGTATTGATGATGTGCGCCTCGAAGTTCGAACAGTTTTAACAATGCACTACTGGTAGTCTGTATACAACTCCTGATGTACGCCTAAGAGTTTTATCATTTTCTGTTCGCAGTTAGTACAGCATCTACGTCTTATAGTTCGAACAGTTTTATCATTTTCTGTTCGCAGTTAGTACAGTCTTCTAGTTCGAACAGTGTCAACGGGTTTGAGATATATTTCTACAGCATTCTTGGCGTACGGCTCAAAGTTCGATCAGTTTGAATAAATTAAAGTTTTTTTTTGTTCCTTCAGCTTATACTATTTGTCTTGTGGTTGGAACATTTTTCATATGCACGCATCGTAGTTCGAGCAGTTTTATTTGTTCTACTCAGCCATGGCTATTATAGTTGATGATTACTGATCAACTACTCTACGTGATGAATCGTAGTACAGGTTGATTCCATACCGGTTGATAAAATGCCAGTTGATACAATAACGGTTGATGCAATGCCGGTTGATGCAATGTCGGTTGATGCAATGTCGGTTCATAAAATGTCAGTTCATACAATGCCGGTTGATACAATGCCGGTTGATACAATGCCGATTGATACAATGCCGGTTGATACAATGCCGGTTGATACAATACCGGTTGATACAATGCCGGTTGATACAATGTCTGTTGATACAATGCCGGTTGATTCAATGCCGGTTGATACAATGCCGGTTGTTACAATGTCTGTTGATACAATGCCGGTTGATACAATGTCTGTTGATACAATGCCGGTTGATACAATGCCGGTTGATACAATGCCGGTTGATACAATACCGGTTGATACAATGCCGGTTGATTCAATGCCGGTTGATTCAATGCCGGTTGATATAATGCCGGTTGATACAATGCCGGTTGATACAATGCCGGTTGATACAATGCCGGTTGATACAATGCCGGTTGATACAATGCCGGTTGATACAATGCCGGTTGATACAATGCCGGTTGATTCAATGCCGGTTGATTCAATGCCGGTTGATACAATGCCGGTTGATAAAATGCCGGTTGTTACAATGCCGGTTCTAGTATTTATCTTCCCGATGTGAGTACAGCCCTATTGTGCCTGTGGTTATATCAATACTTAGAGCTTTGACCTGCAGTGCAGTAGTAAAGCTAGCAGTACTGAATACAGTTCTAATGTACTACCAATAGTAGACCTAAACAGTGTACCCATGCACTACACGGTGAGAAAACCATACTGAATGTATCGTACCCACGGCAGGCAGAAATCACGCTGTTGGAGGGAAACGTATGTATACAGTATCTGGTACAGGTGGGAGACTGGGATCCTACAGGTAGATGTCAGGTCGGTGCCAACATGTGGCTCCAATCGTGTCT